CCTTCGAGGCCTTCCTCCCCTCCGGAAGGCTCGCGTGCACCGTGCTCACGATTCTGACCATCTCGGCCCTATCCAGCGCCGTTGCTGTCTCCAACAGGACTTGGCTTGTTGGTACTCGGGTGGGAGGGAACCAACGAAGTGGGCGAGTACAAAGGGTGCGTCAGCGTTGAGCCCTTTTTCGCGTAGGCGTGAGTACAGCAGCTCGAGCGAGTACAGGTGCTCGATGGGGTTTCTGCTGCTGTGTGTGGGGATCGGGAAGTTGAACATTTGCTTCATGAGGGCTTGTTTCGAGCCCTACGATTCCGGACCGTAGATTTTGTCGAGTTCCGCGAGGATCTCTTTTGCGGTCTCGCATTTGTTCACGATCGCCTTGTCGGCTTCTCTGACGATGGCAGTGGTCACAAAATGGAACGCTTGGAGGCCCCTCTGGACCTCGTCGCTGGTGTATTGGAGGCGGTACAGCTCCGAGATGGGCACGTTTGGGTTGCCGACAGGTGCATGTCTCTCGTTGTTGCCGATCNCGTCGCTGGTGTATTGGAGGCGGTACAGCTCCGAGCTTGGCACGTTTGGGTTGCCGACAGGTGCATGTCTCTCGTTGTTGCCGATCAATTGGCCGTCCAGTCCTACAGTCTTGACCGCTTGGATAAGCGACTTTCTCCACGAGTCATACCCATGGCCGCGACTCTCCCCTTCGAGACGCGGGGCGTTGACTGTTACTCTCTTCGTGTTGCTACTGCCGTAGCCGTCGAGGTGTTCTCCATTTCCTCGAATCACGGGTATCTCATCTGGCGGGTTTAACCCCCTCGCTTCCCCGTAGTCCGGTCCTATGCCCGGGCCCACTCCGGCTGGTCTCGCAGGATTCGCTCCCGATCTGCTGGCCCAGCTGCCTTCCAGCAGCTGACGTGTTACTTGTCCACCATCTCTTGCTTGCTGCTGGAGAAATCTCCCGCCTTGGCCGTGCGGATGCAGGGGCTCTTGGCCTCCGGTGGCGGCAACCCAGCCGCCCCTACTGGCTGCATCCGCCACGACGCTGCCAGGCTCCTTCTTCTTCACCGACTCCTCCACCAGGGCCGCCAATTGCGAAATCTGCCGTTGCAAACTTGCAAGCTTGGCGTCGCGGCCCTCCTGCACCGGCGGGCGGATCTGTTCTCCGCTCGCAGCAGCGCGCTCTTCGTCTCCAGCAGAGCTCATCCCGATGTGGCTTCCCTCGAGGGGCAAAACTCTAGAGTGTTTGCGGCCTACGCCACTTATTTATCGGGTGAGACTGTTTGGTGATGTATTAACTTCACGGGAGGTAGACGACCGTCCTTCACAGGGACGAAAGAGGGAGTGCTCAAAGAGCGGCTCCCACAGCAAGGAGGGGCCCCGTGAATCATCGCGGTGCCCCCTGCCAAACGGCAATCTTACCAATCTGNCCGCCACGACGCTGCCAGGCTCCTTCTTCTTTATCGACTCCTCCACCAGGTCCGCCAATCGCGAAACCTGCAGTTGCAAACTTGCAAGCTCCGCATCGTTGCCCTCCTGCACCGGCGGGCGGATCTGTTCTCCGCTCCAGCAGTGCGCTCTTCGTCTCCGGCAGAGCTCATCCCACTGTGGCTTCCCTCGAGGGGCAAAAAAAACTCTAAGTTTGCGGCCTACGCCACTTATTTATCGGGTGAGACTGTTTGGTGATGTATTAACTTCACGGGAGGTAGACGACCGTCCTTCACAGGGACGAAAGAGGGAGTGCTCAAAGAGCGGCTCCCACAGCAAGGAGGGGCCCCGTGAATCATCGCGGTGCCCCCTGCCAAACGGCAATCTTACCAATCTGCGTGACACCAAAATCATCCAGCACATGTATCCAACACCAATGTTCGCAGACCCACAAACAGTACTCAGCGCGAACTCCGTCGTATGCGATACACACAAGTAACTGATAGGTGGCATGTGGAAATGATATCGTTTGCGGGAGATCGACTTCATCGTCTACATAGGATACTGCTGTAAGCTTCGTGACGTACAGAGGAATGTCACGGTTTTATCGCTGGGGGTGTGGGGGGTGGCTGCACCGTCGTACATGCCTTCCTTAACCACGACACCCTCTTCGTGGGTTGCCCTGGCCGTGTATGGTATGGGAGTATGGGCTCACCGGTTGCTCGAGACATGTGGCAACCATTGTGATGATTCAAACCTACAGCCCCGACCCGCTGTACTTTACTTATACATCGTGTCGAAGTATTTGGTGTGATGGTTGTCCAAGAGTTGATCCGATGAAGTGGAAACACGGACGGTGAAGACTCGGCAGCAGTACTTTCGGATACAAGTGATCACGTGCTGTTATGCATACAGCAGCATTTGTATATCGATGCATTATCGGTTTTCAATCGCCCCCCCCACACCCCTACTCTTACTCGCGCCTACCAGCTCCATCCTGACAAGGTGTTGGGAATACACCTCCAGGGAGCGAACCCGGCGTGGATAGGTCCGTTCGAGCTGCTGTCGGAAGAGGAGCTGAGATGGTGGAAGGAGAGCATGTTCGGTGCGCGCGCGTTTTTATCTAGCTGGCTGCACTTTCAGACGAATATTGAAAAAAGTGCGGTGGTACAATTTGTCACCAAGGCTACGTAGGGATGTGCGTTACACGTTACACCTTGCTCTTCTTGAAAGGCATCATACTCTTGTACTTTTACAGGAACCGAGCACCCAGGTCGACGGCATAACGTCATGATTTGTTTGTTCAGGAGCGGCAACGCGAGCTGTCCTGCGTCTTACTAGGTTGCTGTGGTTGGGCGTACCAGCAACGATACAGTCGAACGAAACGTCCATCTATATTCAGGGAAGCTTTTTGGTTCGACCGTTTCCTGTTTTCAGAGGTCCCGCCTGAGTTTGCAGGAACAGAACGCTCCTTTGAACCCTGCCCACGCGCTGCGATTCCGTGTGAAAAATAGCACAGCAGTCGAAAAGAAAACGACTGTGCGATTGTTTGAAAAAAATACCAATAAATGACAGGACCCGACGAGAAACCGCCGCCGGCGCCTAGCGTCCCCGATGGAGACAACGAACTTTCACCGACAACGACAGCAGCAGAAGAGGAAGGGCCGAAAGGGCCGTGGCGCAGAGTGCCGAGATGGAACAGCGATTGTTTGGCTGCTCTGGTCGAGCGAATTTCTCGGGCGGCTGGAAACGCCTCAGATGAAGGGGCGAGGGCCCTTCAGACGCTGGCGGGACGCTCCGCGGTGCTGGGGAGAGAAGGGGGGGTGTGGCTCAGGAGACGGTAAGGCCCGACGAACGCAACGGTCGATGCCTTGGGTGGCAGGGCGTGGCAGGGGAAGGGGGCGGAGATGGGAGGAAGGTTAAGAGTATATGCCTGGTCTGGGGGAGTATACCGTGCAAGTATTAATGAAGCCGCAGAAACGTACGATCTACACACTCTGACACGCACGCGGCGGGACGGGTCAATGCGTTCGATACTCGCGTTTTCTGTTCACCCGACACACTGTCCTCGTGCATGGCGCGGACTTCCGGCATTTCGGACTTGCCCGTACCGAACAACCCCCTACTCGGTGCCGATAGACTCGGCGGCTTCCAGCCCCCAACACGCTGCTGCTGCTGCTGCTGCTCCTGTTCCATTGCAAGAACCACATACCGTCCGCCGGCGAAAAATCACGACTGTGATGACAGGAACATTTGTTTCTCTCCACGGCTGCTGGCAGATGGCGCAAGAAGGCAGTCTACTTCCTGGTCGGGGTGTACGGGCTCCGGCTGGCGGGACGAGTGGTCGCGAGGGTGAAGGCGAACGCGCTGAGCGTCGGGTGAGTTGTGCTTATTCTTTTGTACGCTGCCTGTCATGGAGGTGATAATGGTAATTCGTAGTGTGAGTTGTTGTGTAGTCTGTTCGGCTGTTCTTTTATGTACCGATCTCGGTCTGTGGTCCGTGTTCTCCGTGCGTGACAATGGATCACGGGGCGCACGTTGTTGTTGTTGTTGTTGTTGTTGTTGCTGCTGTTGTCTTCACATTAAACACCGTTCCGGTCACGTTGAACCGTAATATATCCAAATGAAACCCATTGATACGAACACGATTTCACGCGTCAATATCAATCTCCACGACCAGAGACATTATCCTCGATGCCGAAGACCAAAATCTGCTGAACCGAGGCGCAGTGCTCGACACGGAGGGCCAGGCTATCATCCTCAGGCTTCGCGAGCTCGGACCACCCGCCGCCACCTCCGCCGCTACCGATGTCGCGACCGCTGCCGCTGCTGCTGACCCGCAACGGGAACGATCGAAAGAGGCAACCACGCAACTGAGCGCGTACAATGGCACAGATGGCGATGATGGTGTTAGTCTTGCCGCCGGGGGAATGGGGGATGTAGGCGGCGGGTGGGGAGCCGTGGAGAGCGGCGTCCGACAAGCGATCGGCTTGCGATGCGCCGGTCGGGGCGGAGGGTTAGTGGGGGGGAGGGCCCGATATGCGGACGAGCTTGCGGAGGCCCTGCGAACACTCGAGGAGGCTAGGTGGGTATGCTACTATTTCGATCAGCGGATGATGTGGGTGTCTTTATCTTGCGTAGTCTATACCGAATGAAACACTACATATCAAGCGTTACCGCGTGTGTGTAAGTACTGCTTGCTTGTCTACTTGTCGTTCGTGCAGGCACTAATACTTTCCTACTGAGCTTCCAAGAGACTCTCCCCTCCCTGTTCTAATTCTTGCTTCCAATCCTACTTTGACAGGGACGAGGCAGACTTGGAAAATGTTGGGCCTCAGCATGCCTCCCTCGCAGAGCAAGCGGTCTTACTTGTGCAGGTGTGTAACAGTACTCCTGGCTCGTTCCCGGGTATGGCACGTTCAGAGCGTCGTTTGTTCGTGCGACGTGCACAGAGCAAGAACAGCTCGGCTTTTGTGGAAGTCATTCCAGCCCATTCTACGAGTACGTAACGGCATGGACCCCGCAGCAGACGTTAGGCGTAGCATCGAAGCGCAAAAGCCAGGCTCCTGTCGATCCTACCAATCCCTTATCCGTCTAAAATCTGTGCTGCTGCCCTGCCCTGCTCGCATTGTAACAGGCGCGGCTCTGTGACGTGTCCCTGCGATCGCTCCGGGACGGGCTGATGCGTGCTTCGTCGGACCTGTCAGACTTGTCGTCTTATTGGAAGGATCAGAGGTCGGCCCACAGACGCATGGGGGTCGTCAAGTCGGTCGTGCTTGGAAGGATTGTCCACGGGAAGGTACCAATTCTAGTCCGGTCTAAATATTGTGCTGTAGCATGCGCGGGGTTGCACGGGACGGCGGTGGCGGTGTTATGATCGTTTGTTGTCGCTCTCATCGTCGTTTGTTTTGGTTCGGGCTGGTTGCTGAGCACTTGTGTGTCGCTACTTAAGTTTTTGTCATTGAGCGGCGGAGGGAAGCATGCACATGATTAAGCTTGGTGATATCGGCGCCCTGTCTCACCCTACCCCCCGCCCCCCGTCCCCGCAAGGCTTCCGGCAAGCGCGTTGCGGTGGAGAAGGACCAAGAGAACGTTTCCACCGCGGAGTTGCTGCTAGAGGGCTACTTGAAGAGACTGGGCGGTGTCCAGGCACATCTACAGGCGCGACCGAAGCCTTGCCTGGGATCCTCCTCGACAGCGGCAGAGGAAGGGGCTGGCGTGTTTTCTCCGGTGTGTTGTTGTTTGGTGGTAAATAGTGACCCCTCCGCTTTGTTCTCGTCGTGCTGCCGACTGTCCTTAACTTCTGCTTGATTTGGCAGTTGTCCGGCGAATATTCCCTCAGGCAGGCACAGAGAGGAGGCACAGGAGGTCAATACAGAACGGTCAAGAGCTCCTTTCTCGACCTTTTTTTTTGTTTTCCCTTGGCGCTCATGCTGTGTTTTACCTACTTTCTTGCGACCAGGTTGACGTCATAGCTCTCGAAGCCTGGGTACAAAAGGGCATGGAGTTGTTCCTCGGATCCCTAGAGTACGTCGAGGCGGCTCTCGAGCAAAAGAAAACAGCACCAGGCGAAGACGGCGACACCGATAACGGTATCGCCGCTGGCCACGTTAGCCACAGAGCAAGCCCCATTAAAAGCGAAACATCTCTGGATGTGGTTGGAGCCATCGCTCCAGCAGGAGCAACATCAGAGACGGCGGTAAAGCAGGGGTCGGGCATGCCGACAGCCGACGATGCCTTCGAGAGGATCGATGTTAGCGGCACTTCGTTTGCCTCTAAACCCGATGACGTGTCTCACACCATGCAGCAGCTTCGGGCAGGCGGAAAAAGCGGTAGTGGCCATGACAGTGGAAATGCACCGTTGCCCTCGGGCGCTGCATCGAGTCCAGCCCCTCGTTGTGTGATGACCAGTGCTGTCGCTGCTGCTGCTTATGGCAGCGGTCATCGTTCTCTCCCCGCTATTCTCCTGTTGCGTTCAAAGCCCAAGAAGACAAAAGACGTAGCGGAAGGGGGGGGATGGGGATGGAGCGCTGCAAAGTCGCCGGGGAACAAAGATGTGTCACCATCATTAACAGCACCATCATGGGGTGTACGCCGTGCGGCAAAGGAGCGGGACCTCGAAAAGGCGGAACGCAAAAACACTGCCACCAAGCCTACCACCAGTCCGAAGCCAGGCTCAGGAGGAAAGCAAGAGGGGGGTGGGGCGAGATGGGGGAAACGTGCCACAATGAGGCAGCCGAACAATCGCGAGAAGGGAGCAGCAGCCCAAGCGGGCAAGAAACAAGAGAGCCGGGGCGGTAAAGGCACCGAGGTCTCGGGTGGCCTATGGGAGTGGCTCCGGCAAGGAGAAGAGTCCGCTGCCGAAAAGAACGCTCGCGGCAACGGCAGCGCTGCCAAGCGGTCGGCTGCTCCTGATGCTGAAATTAAGGGGAGAAAGGGAGCCGCTCGGGAAAGTGCTGATGCTCTCAAGGCGACGGCTCCCAAGAAAGAGCGTGCTGGCGGCCGCGACGGTGACAGCGGTAGCGCTGCTAAGGGTGGAGTAGGAACGGGATCTTTGGCGTCATCGTTGCCTCCCATGGCGGCGGCTCTACGTGAGCCGCCGGCCGATCGCGCTGGGATGGACAGGACACTGCCGCCGGGGCCTGAGATCGGAGCTAAACCCACACGTGCAACTCCCTCCGACCCGAGTTTGTCAGCAGACCAGGACGACGATTTTTTTCTCTTTGGCCCTTTCGTCTCGCGGTCGACCAGCTCGTTGTCGACGCCTGATGTCTACGCCCGAGCCCTGCAGCGCGACGAAGAATACTCGAGGGTCAGGAGAGAACAGTTGATCGGACGGAAGCACCGTGGCGTTTTGGTTTCCGGCGAGGAGAGTGCGACAGCAGTGGACGGCAGTGACTTGACCATCAGTAGCGCCGCCTCGCCTTTGTCCGACGACGGCGTCGGTTCCACCGCTGGAAACACGACGGCCTCTTGTGGTCAAGGGTTGCTTGCGGCTTGCACTGATCGTTGCGCGGCCGCCTGTATGACGGTCGCCGAGGGAATCTCCCACGGGACGATGGCCTTGGTGACCTCGCCGGCGACGCTGGTGCGGGCCTTAGCCAGCGTTGTGGTTTCCGGCGGGGAGAGTGAGGCAGGAGGGGGCGGCAGCGACTTGCCTTCGTTCGACGACGACGTCGGTTCCGCTGCTGGAAACGTAACGGCCTCTTCTGGTAGAGGGTTGCTTGCGGCTTGCACTGATCGTTGCGTGGCCGCCTGCATGTCCGTCGCCGACGGAATCTCCCACGGGACGATGGCGTTGGTGACCTCGCCGGCGACGCTGGTGCGGGCCTTAGCCAGCGTTGTAGTTTCCGGCGGGGAGAGTGAGGCAGCAGGGGGCGGCAGCGACTTGCCTTCGTTCGACGACGACGTCGGTTCCGCCGCTGGAAACGTAACGACCTCTTCTGGTAAAGGGTTGCTTGCGGCTTGCACTGATCGTTGCGTGGCCGCCTGCATGTCGGTCGCCGAGGGAATCTCCCACGGGACGATGGCGTTAGTGACCTCGCCGGCGACGCTGGTGCGAGCTGTAGCCGCAAGCGTCACCCGTTCGGATGATGACCTTGACACCGGTGGCGAGGAAAATGCCGTCGGGGCCGGTGTGACGGCCATGACTACACCGAGGGTTGGCGAAAAGGCGGCAGTGGGAGGTGGCCGCAACGGCATTTATGTCAGCAGTGGCGGAAGTTCTCCTTCGCGCGACGGCCTCGGTCCCGCTGCCGGAACAGTCAATGGCTCTTCCACTGGCGGGATGCTTGCGGCTTGCGTTGGCCGTTGCGCAGCCGTGTGCGGGTCAGTCGCGGGAGACATCTCGCGCGGGACGGTGGCGGTGGTCAAGTCGCCGGCGAGGCTGGTGAGGGCCGTAGCCGGCAGCGTCTCTCTATCCAAGATTGACCTCGACGACGGAGATGAAGAGGTAACTCCCGCGGCTGGCGCCGCAGGCAAGGCCGCACCCACTGCTAGAGCCCCAGGGACAGCGGGAGACGGCCACGATAGGGCCAGCGCAAGCAAGGGCGAGGACGACCACCATGACGGCGCGCAGCCGACGGGCAACTCCCTGGACCACCTCTACCGGTCAGTGGCCGGCGGTGTCTCGTCCGGCTACGAGAAATTGGCCGCGGCAGTGCACACCGTGTCGAATGCGACGTTTGCCACGATCGACCTCGATGACGACCACAAGCCGGCAGCAGATGAGGAAGTAGCCGAGGCGAAAGAGGTGGTCGGAAGCTTCAATATCAGCAGCGTGGTGACGCGTCCTTTCGAGATGGTATTGGTGCGTCCCTGCTCTTTCCTGTGCGAGCTGGTCGCCGGAGGCGTCTCAGCCTGCTACGGAGGTGCGTCAGCCTGCTGCGAGGCAGCTGCCGGGGCGATGTGTAGCTTGGGAAGCGCAACCCTGCACGTGGGGAACGGGGCGCTTCGGGTCGTGCGGAACACAACACGGGTCTGCATCGGGGGAGCGGGAGTCGTGCTCTCTTCGCCCGTAAAACTCGCACGTGCGGCTGCCAGTGGCCTGTCGGCATGTACCGGGCCGCCCGGTGGCACGGCGGTTGCCGAGGTTGCCGCCAAGCTCAAGCGCCGGGGAGGAGATCTCTGCGTCCTGGTCGGGAAGGGAGTGTCCTCGGGCTGCGTGGCGACGACGGCGTCGGTGTGTCTTGCGGGAGGCGCCGTCGTGAAAGGCCTCGAGAAGTCCGCAAGCGTCGCCGGACGCACGGCCGGCGTGGCGCTGTCCGCACCGGGCAAGCTTTCGCGGGCGTTCGCGACCGGCAGCGGAAGAGCAGGTCGGTCGGCGGGACGTGCCGGGGGAAGTGTCTCGCGGGCGGTCGTGGCCGGGAGCGGCAGGGCTGGGCGGTCGACGGCCGCGGTGCTCACAGCGAGCTGGCTCTGCACGGCAGCGACAGTGTGCATGCTGGGTGATGCAGCGGCGCAGGGCGCCGTCGTGTCGACCAAAACCTGCCTTGGCTGCGTCGAGCTCGCTGGCCGTGTGCTCTTCGTCCTGCCCGCGAAGACTGCGGTGCGTGTCGTCGACCTCGCGCTTCGCCCGTTTTCTGGAGGTGGCCATGGTAGAGAAGGCAAAAAGAAAACCACCCAGGCGGGAGACGGCGGGGTGACAAGGCCAACGGCACCAGCGATAAAGTCAACGGCACCGGTGAGTCAAACGACAACGAAGCCGGTATCCTCCGGAACGACGGGTTCGGCACCGTCGGTCGGTAGCTGGGCTGCTAGGACGTGGGCGTTCCCCGTCTCCCTGCTGGGAAGACGCTCCTCGCCGTCCAGCCTGATAGACCCCATCTCCCTGCCGGACCCTTCGTCTTCCAGCTGTTACGACAGCGGTGTAGGTGCCGACCTCTCGTTGCCGTCAACGTCGAAGGCGCAGAAGGTGGACGCGGCGTTGGCTCATTGGGTGTGCTCGGCACCCTCGACCGACGTTCCACAGGACAGCGGACGCCGGAGTCGCTTGCTTGTGGATGGCGCCTCGAGAGCACGGAAGGTAGCGCTGCCCAGCAGTAGTACCAGCAGCGGAAAGCGGAGTAGGAGCGCGACCGCCGGCCCCGTTGCCGTCGGCGGTGTTGCGAGAGCGCCTTGCATCACTCGGGCCTTGCGTTCGCTGGCGGCGAAGGAGGCAGCGGAAGCGGGCGCCGCGCGCCCTGCTCACTGGAGGAGACTGCGCAGGGCCGCGCGCTTGGCGGTCGTGGTACCGGTGGCGGTGCGGTCGGCAAGGTGAGGTTGCACACTGCGATACACCCTTTCATGGCGCGAGCACGGTATCACTGGGGTGGGGGTAAGGGGGGCACGATTGTGCGTCAGCAGAATTGCTCATGAATTGTAGTCGTCCAGGAATAATGCTGTTGGAGGCGGACGGGGGTGTCATTTTGTTGCTTGCACGCCTTCCTCCCTGTTGGTCGCTACCTCTACGAACACTCAGCCCACGCGCGCTTTGCTTTTGGGCATCCCATCCGCTGTCCAACTAACCGGTGCGTGGAAATTGCAGGTATGCGCGCAGCAATAGGGAGGAACTGGGACGAATCACCAACGAGGCGGCGACGGGGGTTTCCAGCTTCTTTTCGGACCAGCTGTGGCAACCGTGCGAGGTGCGTAGCTTGGACCTTTCGGCAGAAGGGCCAGGTCGGGCGAATTGCTCTCAGTTAACTCACGATGAATGGCTCCCGTTGGACGAGAGGCCGTGCGTGGAGATTTTATTGTACACGACTCGCGAAAGCGGCGTGTTCTGTGTATTTCGCGTTGGCGCCGAACGTTCAACAGGAGTACAAGTCGTTCCTTCCTCTGGCAAAACTGTTGTCGACAACTGCTGACGCGGGGGGCGGCAAACGCTAGAAAATTTGGGACTCGTGGGTAGCCGTGCAGTGCGGTTGGCGTGTTCGATAGTGGGTGTCAGCCTTGTTGAAAGTTGAGCAACACTAGATCGTGTTACATTTTTTTTTCACTTGATCCGCCTCCCCTCCTCACACTTCAGTTGAACACGAATATTGGGGTACTGTATCAATCTTCGACCCGGTAACTTTTCTTGCTGATTTTTCGGATTTGGGACTCATACTACCACGGGAAACAAAAAAATCGATGGGCACGCAGGCGATTGGAAAGCAAATCTTCTTCCGCGAGCGATCGGAGCTGATGGACAAGGACTCCCTCGAGGATGCAGAGACGAGTCTCCAGAACATGCTCCACGACTTCGTTTACGACGACAAGAACAACGTCCCGGAGAACCTCAGGTGCGCCGGAGAGAGGAAACGTGCGGGAGGGCGCGTGTGCTTTTATTAATACTAACGTCGACCGCGCGCGCTAACTGACTGACCAAGAACGGACGCCAGTCTCACCGTAGTTGAAAATGCGTGTGTGTGTGTGTGTGTGTGTGTATCTGTTTATAGCATCGACCGCGCATACTAGCTGACCAACGGAGGCCGTGTGTGTGTCTTCGTCCATGTATGCTGGGCTTCAGTTTTCATCTTTCGGTATATGTTCGACGCACCGGCCAGGGTTCTAAGCCCCAGTGTCGCTCCGTTGTCCCTTTCGCGGGGTGTGCGGCGTCTTGTGCTTTTTGGCCCCACCGATCCCGGCTGTTGGCGCAAACGCTACAGGGAGGAGGCGGTGGCAGCAATGGACATGTCAGTCGTGAGCCGCCAGCTGGAAGAGGAGACAAAGTACTCCATTCGTGGCACAGTGAACGGCCGGATCCCGCGCATGCTGCTCATTCAGGCGAGTAGCTTTCTGAACCCAACCACATCAATCGCCCCAGCTCGAATAGTAAAAAAATGCCTTCGTTTCCTTCGCTTGTGTTTACCGGCGGGCTAGGCTACGTACTGTTCAGAAACAACGGTTTTCCCGGTGGCCCTCTTGACTTTGTGTGTTCCGCGGACTGAATGAAATACCTTCCTCAGACCCCGCGCCTTGAGGTATTCGGTGTTTATATAGGTGCTTCGCTTCCTATTGTTGCTCCCTTTTTGCATGCTGGCCTTGGGAAATTACCCGACATCAATACAGCGTCGATATGTAGGGATGCGTTCAGTGTTGTGTGGGTTGCACTCCACACCCCACGAAAGTCAGCAGCGACGGAGTGTGCACCTCCGTCGAAGGCCTGTTTTTGTGTCCAACTGAGGCCTAAGCGCTCGAGAAACTGTAGGACGGGGCACGATAGTTGTTTCTCGGTGTTGTCTAGACGAGATTAGATTGTCCAGTCGTTTGCTTATTAAAGCACATACTTCCTCTGTATCATAAGTTAGGGTACCTAAATTTGTACGGGCCCTTAACCGTGTCCGATCTGTTTTTCGATTTTTTTGTTGAAATCTTCGTAGTTTTTTGAGCAAGAAACATTTATTTTTATTTTTATGCATGCGCCACCCCGCGTGCATGAGCGCCCGAGAAAAAACCAGTCTGCCTGAAAAAGGCCTGGTATTTTGCATGTATTCTGCCCCCTCCGACCAGGCGACCAGGCGGGGGGAGGGGGGGGGGGGGGAC